AGAGAAATCTTGTCAGAGATAGGCAACCTGGCACCCCCTGGTGGTATGGACCAACATTTACCAATTCCAGTCTATATGGTCAATAAGAGAATAGTTAATAAAAATGTCAAGAGTACAACAGATTGTCAGCCTTCCTGAACATGCAAGCACTGTGAATGTGCAAGCCAAGCTATGTTTTTTCAGAGTGTTTTCACAAAAGAAAGCACAATTTCTTCGCTGTAAGATTTGGCCTCACTTATTTTTAATAGTCAGAATAGCTGACTAGAACCATACATGGATATGAAGCAGAATGACATTTTTCTCCTTTGTTGTTCCTAAGACTGGAACCAGTTTTTATATTGGATTGTTCATGCAATTTGCTTATTCAACTACCATAGCAGGCATCCTGGCAAAGGATTTAGCATTCAAAACATGGATTAAATGGCAAATAACAAATCAAATACAAACATTGTTTTTCAGCTTTCATATGTTTGCATGGAACTTTAGAACATGCAATTTTATCTCCATAAATATTCTGAGTGACAAAGGAGAAATGCATCTCCATGCAAAATTGAAGAGAAAAATACCTGAACTCATTTGAATGATGTCTCAGTTTAGGTCTACCTCTAATAATAATAATATATCCCAAGGCTGTAAGACAAATTATAGATTAGTGTGCACTGAAGAGTGGCCAATTCCCATTTTTCAGCTGAGTCTTGCATTTCAGTACTTATTTCTATATTTAAGGTAAAGGATTGGAATTGCTGAATGAACTAGTAATGCCCTTTTTGCTAGACTCCAAGCTTTCAGACTGAATGTGCTGCAGCTGGTCTTGTTGTTGTTGTTGCTAACAATGGATACAGTGAGTTTTCTTGCAAACATAAGACTTTGTACAAAGGGAAGGGAGAGTCACATAAGGTTTTTTTTTCATCCCCAGATGGCCTTTGATTGCACATATTCACAGAATGCAACCATTATTTTCCATAGGAGATCCATATGTTCTTATTATATGAATATCTGGGATTTTCCTTTGCAGAAAACGTTACTAAAAGAGGTGTGTGAGACATCAGCTGGGATCTCACATATACTAAATCACAGTTGTGGTATACTGAATAAAACATAAATAGCTTTGGCCAACATACTAAACCAGAAATCATGGTTTGCAAACCACATAATACATTAAGCAAAACATTCACTGCAATAGCTAAGTGTTACCTAGGGAATTACTGCTTTCTTAGCACAGTATCTCATGTAATTTGTCTGTTAGCTATAGTTTGGAAGGAAGTCATACTTTTGTTTTCTGGACTCTAGGAAACTTAGAGACAAGCTGGAGACTTTGGATCTGTTGCACAATAGTGCACAAGACAATTTTTCATGCTGGGAGCGGGGTTGGTTCAAACTGCAGAAGGATTTTTTTTTTTTAGTATTCCACTAGTATTGGAAACTGGTTAGAAGGCTAACAACTAACATTGTTTTGCAGGTGTAATTTTGCATCTTGCCAATTATGTCAGTCTGTAGTCTGAAACAACCTACTCTAAGACCCTGAAAACAGTTTTGCCTAGAGCTGGCAAAAGATTTGGCAGTGATTAAGTCATCAGACTAGAAACCAGGAAGCCATAAATTCTAGTCCCATTTTAGGCATGAAAGCCAACTGGGTGACTTTGGGCCAGTCACACCCTTTCAGCTCACCTCAGCTCACAGGGTGATGGTTGTTGGGAAAATAGGAGGAAGAAGGAATATTAGATATGTTCAAGTTGCATTATTTATAAAAATAACAAATAAAACAAAATCAACCCTGCCTTCTCTTGTACTCCTCTACTTGATGTGTAGAAATTACCAGATGAAGCTTTTCATGTCTTTGAGATAAAACGTTAACCTCTACATGGCTGTCATATTACTGGGAAAGGCAGAGGTCCGCTGAATTATTGGAAAGCCAGCAGCCCTATTTTGAACTAACAGAATCATTTTATGAGAGCATTTCAGGACTATACTTTTTTTTTTGTGCTGGCCAATTTGCCTCCTCCATTGTCGCTCTTCTCTATTCTGTCCACCCGCCCTCTTTTTCATGCTTTATTGTATCTTCTGGATACACTGGAGTGCCTTTGCAGATTCATATTATGGCATAGGATTCCAGCTGCACTATTCATACTATGTTCAAGCATATTTAATATTGTGTAAGATTTAAGAAGGCAGTGAATAGGTCCTTTACTGGGTTATCTACCTGGAGCAGAAAACTGATTATTTACATAAACTGACCAGGGTCATACAGTGCAGTAAATCATGGCTGTTTCATTTTTTTTTAACAGTGCTGTTTGTAGAAACAAAATTGTGCCAAGCCACAAACCATGATTTACATGGTAAACTAAAAACCAGGAAAAACCACACTATGATTTAGCATGATGTGTGAACCGAGCTAAAATACACACCCATACCACCATAAAACTATAGTTGACTTCTCTACCCTTTGGCAGAACATTTAAAAGCACATTATATGATTCTATCTGAACTACAACGGTGCCAACTCTGATTTAACTATGCTACGGGGAACAATCAGATACATATTCTAAACGCCTGTTTATTATTTAGGAGAATTCCAAGTCATTCCATCTAGCTGAATAGTATGAAATTGAGAATAAACAAAAATAAATCCTTCTTCATGCAGCATGTAGTTATATTGGCATTTCTTTCCACAGCACGGAGAAAGTAAAGCTATGTAAAGTTTTGACTTCAATAGAGATTTTCATAAAGCACTTTTGGAAAGCAATGTGATCCTAATGGTTCTAAGAGTGAAGTAACCATGTTGGTTCACCTCACCATACTGTGTACAGAGCTTTGTCTGTGGTAAAAGCTGAGAGGAGTTCCCTGTGGGAGTGCTACAGGAGAAGATTGAAAGGAGCTTTCTCCCACCATACTGCTCAAGGGCTTCTTGATATGGAAGTTTCAATGACTACTGAGATAGATTATAGTGTGCATTCAAAGTAGTCAACCTGGAGCCTAGGTTGGTGGTCTGCCAGATCCTTTCTGAATGTAGTTTCAAGGAGGTAAGCGATGTCTTCTCTTGCAACCCTAGTCCATGGTGCTTATCATATCCAAACTATCTGTCAGAACCCCCACACTGAGGTCTTCCAGGCCAGGAAGTTCTAAGGTACAATGGGGGCAATTCAAAAACTGCCCATCCTATTGAGAAATATCTAAGAAGAATCTTTTCCTTTAATCTGACCACCCAAATGGTTTTGTTGAGGCAATACGGGTCATGATTCACTTCAGCTTTGGTGGAATGAGTCATATTGTCTCTGCAGTGTGAACTGTTTCACTGACATGAATCTGTAAGTCTCATCACCTACAGCTTGTATAAAAGGGATCAGATAAGCTGATGGGACAAATAAGAATTTCAGTAATTACTAATTATGCTGACTATATGCCACCCTGAAGATCAGAGGTTTTATGCCATTAATACTTGCTCTTGGGAAATATGAGCAGGGGTGCAAGATAGGTTGGACTGAGAGAGAATGGCTGCTCCAAAGAACCAGCCAGCTTTTTTTTAAAAAAAAATATTTTTATGACTGTATGCCATTTGCTTCTGTATTTCTATGTATGTTTGTATCATATAAAATTAACAAGGAAATTTAACAAGGAATCCCTTGTTAATTTTGTTATTTTCACAATATTTCTGCATTAAGTATAATGAGATGTGATTGAAAATATATCGTGGTTAGGATCCAAAGGGCAACCCCATGATGGCTTCTCCTTTCTGCTGGTAAGGCGAACACATAAAAAGATGTGAGATGAGGATATTGGCAACAGCAACAATGCAAGACTCATGATCAGCAGGGTAACAACATTAACCAATGAATATGGGAAAATAGGAAGCAGCAACATATTTATTCAGACCACTGGACCATTTAGTGCAATGTTTTTGGTAGCAAATCTCCAGAGATTCAAACTAACCCAAACTTCAGTGCTATAGGGGGCAGCTGGAATCCTTTGCATGTAAAATGTTATGGCCCTCCCTTTAATAGTAATCAATTACAATTAACTGGACAGTAGATTTTTTTTTAAAAAAAATACTGTTTCTGTAAAATCTACAGAGGCTAAGTGGCATCTTAAGAGACATCCCTCATTCCCTTCCTAGGAAATATAAGTTAAGGCCGTCTCCAGTTTCGATGTGCATCTCTGCATACAGGGCTTCAAATACATCAGTATTTTGTCAGATAAATATCCTATTAGCAATAGTCATGATGATCAATGGGAAAGGTTGAGTAGAAAATCTGGATTGTGCATATTATATAAATTCAATAAGAAGTTAACTGGCTAATAAAATTAGTCAATTACCTTTTTTCAATCAGATGGCAATCCTAAGCGTGATGTATGTAAAAACACAGGAAGGACAATGACACATGGCTGCTGCTACCTTTGGATGGTAAGTCATTTTTCATACCTTCTTATATTATTCTTTTTATTTTTGTGCTTAACACAGACTATTTTTCAACAAAGACATACTCAAATAAAGAGTAGCATTTGTTGAAAACACCTACGTCAGGACATTTTTGATATATATACATATATATAAAAATCATATATACAATATAAATATAGTCATATATTTTAAAAACATATTTTAGCTCTAAATATGAATACTTCATTTCTCCAGCCTGAGCATACATTGGATAATGGCGGTCATTTAACCAACTTTCCAGTTTTAAATGGACTCCTTAGCAGTTGCCATGATTCTTGAAGAATTTATACAAGATAAAGATTTGCTGGGAGTGGGGATGGAATCACTGGAAAAAAATGCAATCTGTCAACTTAGCTGCACTGCAGGCAAGGAGAACTTAAATTGGCGGTGGGCGATCGTGTCTCAGCATTAAGTTGAAGGAGTGTGCAAAGTTGTTGGTGAGCTTGCAACTGTGTGTTTCCTCTGTTAGCGGGAGCAGAAAGGCAAGGAGTAGCAGAAGCAACAGCAGCAACTGGACGGGTAAAGCTGCACAGCACACACGACGTAGGAAGGAACATGCACTTACTGGTCGACCCTGAAAGACAGAAGCCACAGGCATTAATGGAAGCTAATACCTGAATCTAAACTGAATCAGGCATTTCCTAGACAATGGAAACATAAAATAACATTTGGTTATTCCAGTATAAAGGTATTTGGAAGATATCTAGTGGTTGGTCTTTGCCACCCAAGGTTGTGCCATAAATGCTGTTGAAACCGAAGATGTCCAGAACTGGATATGATACAAACCCAAATTACAACCTTCCAGGACAATGTTGTTTGGCCAGAATTAGGGCATGTTGTAACACCACTCCTAGAAGTTACTTTGTATGAGTAGCCCTCTCTCTTAAGCAGTTAGTTCATGGGCTTAGTGGTCCTCTTGGACTCAGGTTCCTATACAAGCAGCAGGTCAAACCTGTGCCAGGGAAATATTTGCCTGGCTGATGCAACCAATTATGATTTCCTCTAGTCAATGATACCCATACCTTAGGGATAGATAGTAACTCCTGCCTTCAGCTGGGCAGCTGTAGTAATGTAAGTTACTACATCTCTTGGAGATGACTCAGCATCTGCAACTGTACAGAATGGAGTAACCAGAATGCTGGAGGGCCAAGCCCATCACTGCAAAATAGCACCAATTCTAAGATTGCTGCCTAGGCTCCAAGTAAACATCTGAGTCCAATTCAAAGTGCTAGTTATCACCTTTAGAAATCACTATGGTATAGTTCTGTGTTATATCAGGCACAGCCTTACCAGAATTGAATCTGTCACTCTGGTCTGAACATCAAGAAGAGGCCTGCAAACAATTCTTTACCCATGAGAAATGCATGGGAATTGGGCTAGGTGACCAACCTTCTCCAGTAAATGTGCACTCCTGGCCTAGAACATGCTTTCTCAACCCCCCCCCCCCATATTATTCCATTGGGTGTTCATCTTAAATTATTATGAGCATTTCTTTTGGACACATATTACTGTTTCTATTTGGCTATTACTATTTCGGTTTTGATTTCTTTGCTGCCCAGAGTCTTAATTGATAGGAGTGGCCTTATAAATACTGTAAAGGACAAAAATAAACACTGTTTCTTCTCTGGCTCAATTTGATTAACTGCTATCTCTTCAGCAGATGCAATTTCCCCTTAAAAACCCTGTGCATCAGATGCCTTGTAAGTTTATAGGGAATTTGATTTTTAATCAACTTTCAAGAATTGCTGAATAATGCAAGCCTTTTTAAAAAATCATATTGGATAGTATCTTCTGTATGAATACTGTAAGCAAAGCTTCTGTAGTGGCCTACTCCACAGCCTTTAGAAAACAACTAATGAACATAAAAGGCAAACATTTCTGGGGTGCCTACAACCTCTTTCCAGCAGTCAAAAACCTGGATCAACTCAGGATTAGCTTGCCAGGCCTTCAGTCTCTAAGAAAACATTCTGTATTATGAAATAACTTTTCCAGACAATTTTTCTGCCTTGAGGGAAAACACTGGATTCTTAAAAAAATATTCATTTTGTGATTGCCAAGTGCTGGCTATAGTATTTTCCAAAAGGTTTTCATGCCAAGCAGGAACTTAATTATATAGAAGTGCACATTTCACACTCTTTCCTCCTGCCAGAAATGTTTCTTTCTTGTATGCATTTCCTGCATTTGAGGCATCATTCAACTTGGCTTGTTTAGCCTCAGAAACACTTGATTGGGCAGCAGAAAGTCCCCCCCTTTATAATCTTTTTAAATTATTATTCTTGTACAATCTTATATTTTTCAGGCTGCCAGGGAACAAAAAAAAGGAAGTGGAACAGATGGTGAAATTTGAACTCAATTCAGTAGTCTTGGCTATGTATGCTGCTTAGCAATGGCTCATTATAATAAAGTTATATGAAAAGAAATCAAATCATGATTTCTTTTAACAACAGCAGATTTAACAACAGCAGAAATGCAAAATATAAATCATCACAATGTCATGTAGTAACACCTTTTACACATTGAATTCAGTGGTATCACAAAAGGTCTCCTTGGAGGCTACATTTGCTGTTTTATTTATTTTACTTTATTTTTCATTTTATTTATTTGTGTCCTGCCTTTATTATTTTTATAAATAACTCAGTTAGTTATAAAAATAATAAGGCATGAGGATATCCAACACACCTTCCTCCTCCTATTTTCCACACTACAACCTGTGAGGTTGGTTTGGGCTGAGAGAGAATGACTGATCCAAAGTCATCCAGTGGCTTTCCTGGCTAAGGTGGGACTTTAACTCATGGTCTCTCACTTTCTAGCCTGTTGCCTTAATCACTTGACCAAACTGGCTCTAAGTAGCTAATCTCTGAGGAGCTAAGAGTGACTCTAATCTTCTCTGCCTCTGACTTGGTTGCTTGACCAAACCTTTTCCTGGAGGGGAAATTCTGCAGCTTGCTTGTCACAGAATAGGAGCAAGGGGACAGCAGGGGAAACAGTGGCTACTTTTGCACAATCATATCGTAAAGTGAATGAGGTTATATGAATTATTTGGCTAGTGTATGCACCACCTGAGAAAGTTTCTATTGATTATAATTTCTCATTTTTCTGGAAAACCTTACTGAACTGTTTTGGAATAAACCGGGCCTTTCTATTTGTACAACTCAAAGCACACTGCACTAATTCTATAAATGGATAGACAAGTTTCAGGAGTTGGCCTACCAATCTCTAGGGCCATACTATAAATAACATTTTCCAGATTCACTGCTTCTATGGCATGGCTATGCTCTAAGGCAAGGAATATTTCCAAAGTGTATACTGTAGCAGCTTCTCATGACCTAGAGCCCTCCTTACGTGTTGAGAACGCATTTACATGGCTTTGGGGATTCTGGAAGCTGTGGTCCCAAACATCTGTCAGGAATTAGGATGAAGAACGTTTGATTCCTAAGATGTTGAAGAAATAGAAATCAAAATATCCATCCATTTCAATTTGGCAGTGTTGTTTAGACAGTGCAGGGAAAATATTGCAACAAGGGGGGTAGGGGAATTCCAAGTTCAAAAGGATTGTAATGCCTTCTCTCAGGTAAAGTTCTCAGCAGAGAAATGAAACATTCCCATGCTTTAAAGGTTATGCTATTTTGGGTCCATTGCCCTTCCTGTGTTTCCTTTATTCTTGATGAAATTTCAGAATGAGTGAGTCTTAACTTCAAACAGAGCTTGGGAAACTTCAATAAAACATGCAAAGCATCTGAATCAAAGTTGTCTTAATCTTGAAGCATAAGAGGCAGATGCTCGTAGAATGACCTATCTCTTGAACACTGAATTCTTGATGTTCTGATAATAATCTTTTGTATTTTCTTTGCAATACCAATCCTGAATCTCACTGAGGTTTTTAAAAATGTAATGACCTTTATGTCCTTGACAACTGGACATCAATTTTCCTAGCCTTAAGTGAATAAATTAGGCAGTTAGTTTCTTAACTCATTTGCTCTTGGGACCCAAGAAGAAAACATCAAATGGTTAAGCTGTCAGCAACAGAATTTGTGCAAACAACCTTGACCTAAAAGTCTTTTGGAGTGGGGGGTGGCTATACTAAATGTAAATGAGGAAGAGGAGGAGTAGGCAAGAGGCAAAATAAGAAAAAAAGCATACGAACTAACGATTTGAGTTCGTATCATCACTATATTCACATTTATAGCTTTGCAAGACAAATTTGATCAGCAGATGGAGGGAAATTATGGAATATGAATTCCAGCAAATTGGGAACTGGAATAGAAGACACTTGTGATGACCCGGAGTGTAACACAAATGTAACAAAATCCAAAATGTAAATAAATGTCCTTTAATGCCTCCAACTTGGCCCTACTGTTCAATAATTCTCAGTTGGAGATAAAACTTACTCAAAATAGTATTTAAAAGAAAGCAATACAGTCTGAACTTAATGAGCAGATAGAGGTGAAATAAAAAACCCAAAACAAACTACAATGAAGGAAATTCCACAACGGACCAGGATAAATAATTATCAACTTCAAGGAGATAACAAGGCACAGTCTGTTGGAAGGACGCCAATCAAGATAACTTCAGCCCAAAATAAAACATGCTTTGCTTCTGGCAATGCTGTGTTGTAACTGTCTCTCTTATATACTGTTCTCCCCAGCTGAAAATAATGAGGAGAATCATGGCCACTTCTTCTCTTGTAAGCCAAGTTGTTTCCTTCTCTGTTCCTCCCTGCATGTCCTAGGATGAAGATGGGATGGCCCTGGTTCTTCCTCTGACTGCCTAGCTGGCTTCTGCCCTTCCACAGCCTCCTCCACAACCTCCGGAGCCACACCTCCACTCCCTGTTGGCTGTTCCTCCTCTCTCTCAGAGTCCGACTCTACCAAGGGCCTGACAACACTTCTGAAAATGCTTTCTTTTGTAATCTGATACTTGATTACTGGTTAAGTGACAAGAGCTACCTATAGAAATTCCACGACTGTCAGCTGTCATATCAGGCTGGCACATACTGGTACTTCTCAACTTATTGAGCCCAAACTCAATTGCTGAGACAGTTGTTGAGTTTTGCTCCATTTTACAACCTTTCTTGCCACAGTTGTTAAGTGAATCACTGCATTTATTAATCACTACTGTTGTTAGTAATACTGTTGTTAAGTGAGTCTGGCTTCCCCATTGACTTTGCTTGTCAGAAGGTTGCAAAAGGTGATCATGTGATTCCGGGACACTGCAACCATCCTAAATATGAACCAGTTGCCAAGCATCTAAACTTTGATCACATGATTGTGGGGATGCTGCAAAGGTTGTAACTGTGAAAACAGTCATAAGTCCCTTTTTTTCAGTGCTGTTGTAACTTCGAATGGTCACTAAGCGAACTCTTACAAGTCAAGGACTACGTAACATCCAAGTTGTCAGTTCATGCTCTCCTTTGAGTGGCTCCAAATACAGCAACTCCCTTTTCTTTAGCACTGTGATGGGGAAAGCTATACCTGGCCCCACTTTGAATATTAAACTTAGTTTTAAGATTCTGACTTTAGTGGATTTTACAGTGGTGTTTTATATTCTTTAAAACTTTGTCATATCTTTTGTACT